ACAAATTTTTAGCTAGGGTCATTACATACATGTATAGTGTTTTATATCAATTACACGAGTAAGAGGTGGATGTGAGCTTTATATAAAAAATATATCATATTATTTATTTATTTAATTTTATTTCAATATTTATTTATTTATTTATTTTCAACACATTAATAACACTTTAAAATGTGAGGTTAAGGGGTCAAAATTAGAGTGCAATATAAAGAAGAAAAAAAAATCCCCATCCAAATATTTTGAAAGACATGCAGAATGGCAGATTCAATGCTTCAAAGATACTTCCTGGTGCATTTTCATGGATATCTGATCAAATAAAAAAGCATCCACTGCCAATAGGTCCACTGAGGCCCAAAATCCACGGTGTTTCCAGAAAGAGATGACAGGCGATCACAGGCTGAAGCAAGTTCCTTGTACCCATCCAAACATTAGTGTTGAAGAAAGCAGTCGAGCGTTTAGGGCCCCGTCTGAGAATTTGGCGAATTTTGATTTGTTTAACTCCGCAACCATGCGTTAAATGTTGCACATATGCAATAAATAATAGCTTTAACCAGCTGCGGAATGTTCGGAGTGCTGCAGACCAGGTCATTTCCATCAATGTGTATGAATAGTAGATCTGATCTTACCGGAAAGTATGTGAATTGTCGTAGAGAGCATATTCTGCTACATGTAAATAGTAATAGTGAGGCCACCCCTCAGCCCCTGGCCAAACAGACACTTGACACTGTTCAATGCCAAGGCGGAAATCGAAGCAATCGATGTTGAAGCTGACAGTCTGATTAAAACCTACTCCCTTCTCCTTTCCTTGTGTGAGGCTGATAAAGTCTCCGAGATGTCATAAACGAAGGAATTGAGGAAATTCGGATTAAGAGAAAACGATCGTTTTGGAAGTCAATAAGCCTCTGAGTCTGGTAGTACGGCAAGTTGCACAGTTGGACAGATCAAAACAATGGATCTTACAAAATTTAACTGCCGCCGCACAGAACGATCACTTGATTATTACAAGGGAAACACTTGCTTTTTTGTTCACAAAAATTACGCGGCAGCACTCCGAGTAAAGAAGAAGTATATAAATAGGAAGCCCTGTGCGGCAATCTGATTGGCTGAAAACAGGCTTTGTCAAGGCCTTGACAAAATTCATGGACGCGGTAAAACTGGGTCACCGGAAGAACCGGGTTTACAAATTAAAAGTTTTGTAAAGTTACAAAAAGATAAACACATTGACATCCACAAAAATACATACATGAAATTTTTAACATCAATCGCTTTATTTGAAAATAAACCTTATTTTATTTTGACAAATCCAAAAAAAGAATTCTTTAAAAAAGTATCAAAACTTGTATTTAATTTTACATGGAAGAAAAGAGATAGGATAAAAAGAAATACTCTAATTGGTAAAGTTGAGCAAGGTGGAATAGGTATTGTTGATATAGAGAGTAAATTTACTGCAGCGAAAGCCTCTTGGATAAAACGATTATTAGATAAAGGAAATATAATATGTAAGATGTTGAACAATGTTCTAAATCTTAAAAACCTATCAGTTAATGATATTGTCAAAACAAGTGTATGTAACTTTGAAAATACTGCTTTTTTAAGATGAAAAGAATACCACTTTTTTATGGTGAGGTCCTTTCTGCTTTCAATAAATGTAAAAAAAAAATTAAACAAATTTGTACTTTAAAGAGAGACAAATTTTTATCGGAATTCATTTGGAACAATAATTTGTTTCAGTTTGATTCTAAACCTCTTTGTTTTGAAAATTTGATAAAAAGTAATATTCTGTATATCAAAGATTTTTTTGATAATGATGGAAACTTTCTTAGTATTGATCACTTTTACAACATACTGGAAAAGAAAAAACAATATATTTTGTGAATATATCAGGATAAAAAAAGCACTCAGAGAATACAAAAACAATTTTGATTGTACATATGCCAAATTTGTTAATATCAAAAACGAAGTGTCATTTCTATTTAGAGATAATAGTGTAAGAACTCTAGAAAATCTTAAATGTGATTTTTACTATTCAATTTTGGTAAACATTAAATTTCAAAGATCAGTTTATGAAAATATGTGGCAAAAGACTTTCGATCTTAGATACAAATATATCTGGAAAAATGTATATCTAGCTAAAGTTAAGTATACATGTATGTATGAAAAAAATGTTGCTGAATTCAATTATAAATTACTGAATTGCATATAAAATAATAATATAAATGTAGATAAATGGAACAAAGATGTAGAACCTTTTTGTGAATATTGTAATGTTGTTGAAGACAATGAACATCTCTTGTACAAATGTAAATATATGTGTTGCGCCTCCCACCTCGGGAGAGAGTGGGGCAACTGTGTGGGCTTTCCACTCTCGTATGTTAACTTATAAATTAATAATTAAGTCAGGATAAAAGTTCAACAAATAAAATTTATTTATACTATGTACAATTAAATGTAAGTATTGTTATAATAAAAATCACAATACAATATCAGTCACTTATAACTTAGTGAAGTCACTCCCACAACCCGTCGGTAAAATCTAAATCTCCCAAGATAATTATAAAAATTAGCTACTTGTACTAAAATATACTTTCCTTGATTTAATATTTATTTATACCTATTCTATAAGTCCTATATAGTTTTAATAATAAATTGTTACTCCCATAAATTCTCCCATAAGTTTTCCCGTCGATGGGTCTCCCACTCTACTTATGGGCCTCCCACAGGGATACCTCAGCGTCTCAATTTAATATAACTTGACTAATATAATTACCCATCTGGTCTGCATAGGGTCTGCCATCCCTTTAATGATTACCAATGATGGGAGCACTTCTAAAATAATAATCTGGAGGCTTCCGTATCCTCCCAACTTCTCCCCCCTTCTACTCTAGCAGACGAAATTTTCGCTTCTTTATATACCTTTACTGTACCCACTGGTAACCTCAATTAGCCAATCGCTGACCCGGAATGACCCTACGCCACTTCCGGTATAAACAAATCAGGGAAAGTGCACGCAGAGAAGTTTTCTAATAGAAAATCATTACTAACCATACAATATGGGATTTTATCTTCCAAAATACGATAAGTACAAGTAGCTATTACGTTATTAAGTTGATTTAAACAATGACAATACAATGTTTACAGACGAAACGTGATAATTGACTTCAAACATGCTATGGAGATCGAGACCGGGTCGAAATACAGTGAACCCGATTCTAAAACAATATTATATGATTCAGATTGACAGCATATAACTTATTTCTTTTACAACTTTTTATCAATTATTTAATAACAAACAATCACGTACATATCAATATGCTGATAACAACTGCATACGCTGCGAGTGATCAATGAAATATACAAAAATGACCAAACGAATTTCGTAACATATGGAAAAAAATTAGTTTATTTTTAGGTTTTAAAGTCACATAAATACTAGTACTATAGGTTTTTACAACGAAATCAATTCAAAAACAACGAGATTGAATAATTTATTGTCATTTATATGTTTTAACATCTACAAATATAAAATGAAATGTAGATTTGAAAAAGATAATATGTATACAGAAATTTTTCGAAATGAGATAAAAAGTTGTCTTTGTCTACAAAACGCAATTCTAAGGAAGGCACATGTAATAAATGATAATTTATATCTAGAAATAGGCAATTACTTGTGAATTTGATGTTCAAATAGATATGCAATGTATGTATTATGCTTTTGTGTACAATGAAGTTAAAATTTTGTTAACCAAACATACTTTGTCGTGCAGATTGGTACGTTGATTGCAATTTATGTTAGAATAGTGTATATCTTAATTTAATGAAAATTAGATCTTTGATCGGCTAGATCCGCAATGGCAAACTTTATTTAAGTACAGTAGTGTACACTTATTTTTATGTCATGTATGTACTGAATAAAATTTCAAACGAAAGTGTCACATAAGGAAAATACGTACAGTGTATGTAGACAATTCAGTGTGTGTGAAAATGAAAATCTATAATAATATTAATGAAAAAAGTCAGTCAACATTCGCCTTAATGATACAAACAGATTGTATTTGCAAACATGGTCACCATATCGATCTTGCCACATGTTGACTTTAAAAGGGACTGTTGATATCCTTGTGTCATCATCTTATTTGTCAGAACCTTTATTTTTAAAGCAATTACTACATGTATAAACTATATAACGTAACTCCTGATGGCTCGAACTTCGATCTCTCGAATTTCTTGATCGCTCAAAGTGAGTCTCTTGTCCGGTGTACATGTACTTAATACATAGGAATAATGGGGCTGTCAACTAAATCAGAAGGGAGAACAAAGTTCAATGTGTTAACAAAACAAGTACACATAGTCCTCATCAAGAGCCCCCTTCTCCCTCAATACTTTATATGAGGAAGGTTGATTAGAATTTTATTATCATAAAATAATATTTATTACCCTGTATTTCATTGATTTATGAGAACGAAAAAAACTCAAATGCCAGGTCATTCCAATTATATCGTTTAATATTTAATATATTTTAAACAGTTATCGACGTAGGACAACATAACAAAATTTAAGGGCTCATAACGCCCCATCCCCCACCCCCAATACCTATTTAAATTTAGTTCTTAATCTAATCAGACATCAATCTGTTGATCATGCCCTGAAAGATTCAAACCAATTGCTACAATCAATCTTTAATTTAATTACAACAAACTGATTTTTATTACAGATTTATTGATCCATTCACACAAATGTCGCAAAGTTAAAAAAGCAACACACATCAAAGCACTACACCAGTTGGGGAATATGACATTGAACTGGCTTTGAATCAAATAACCAAGATATCAGAGATACCATTACTTAGATTAAAGTATAAAATTAACGAATACTCTGAATATTCTGTATATTTACTTTACAACCAATATAATTTTGGCTTCATGTTTCATATGCCCCAGTTCTTATTTTTTTAACTCTCTTTCCATTTTTTCGAATCACCAGCACTTGGGGACCTAGAATGTTTATTGAAGTTGTCTTTCAACACAACTTATTCTAGTTTCTGTGGCTTTCTGTATTTGGTGGCATGGCTCCTGTTTCAGTGACTCTTGATAAGAATATAAAGCCCCATATAAGTCCCCAACAACGTGCTGACAAATCCCAAGTATCTGCCAGGCTAGGTCTCTTTGATGTGTAGGTATATATCGCCAATCATCATATAACAGCAGAGTTTTAAAGTCTGACAGTGACTGTTGATATAGAGACTGATTCCCTAGTCTGTAGTAAGATAACACAGACAACCATTCTAGTGTAAGAAATGGAGATATAAATAGATATGCCTTTCCATTCTTCTCGGCTTCTTGTTGTTCTAATAATAATTCTCGAATATATAAAGTACTCACTTTAAGATTTAGGTCCATTGCCCATGCCATTTTCATTCGCTGAGACAGAGACAGACTACATACAGCTTTATATTTGTGTTATTTTATAGTATAATAATACGAGATGAAAGGCTGTGAAAGTCTTTTTCTCATGAAATGAATTAATCTTATCGTTTTATGATATCTACCAATTCTATAGTAATACAAAGCTAAGTACAGTAAATCAGACACACAACCTATCCTTCCTGCCAGTTTCAGTATGTTACAAGATATTCTTTCTAATGCAAACGTTTCTTTATGACAGATACAGGAAGAACTTTGTGCCGTGATGAACACTATGTCAATAAGAGTTAGAGGTGTACAATATTGTAAAGTAAGTGTTTGGTATGGCGAGAATGAAAATTGCAATAATCTTTCAACCGATTTCAATTGTGTAACAATTTGTTGATAAGAGCTAATTGAAAACGAAAGAGAAAATATTTCAATGTTGGCATTTCTATCTATTTCTAAAACAGAATTAACATGACCCTCGACAAAATGAACCACAAACGATAGAGTCCTTAGAGCTGGATCCAGGATTGATCTGAGAGTCGGACTAAGAAGAAGACAAGACACACCCATTCTGTAATATTGATTAAGTTGTTCTAGTAAACAACAACGAGTAGATCCAATTACTTTGTTTGAAAACATGTTATTTTGTGGAATGAAAAAATTGGGAAACTCGCCATGGTAAACACAATGAATGAGATATTTAAAACATTTCCAGAAACTGTTCAGTAAATTGTTTCGGCACCATTGAGTAGTATTCAACTGCATTATCCAGAACATTGAAGTTTTTATGTGATATGAACAAAGTAATGGTTCGCGGATAATGTGATTGATTACTTCCTTCAGAAATAATTTCAGTAGACCGTAACATAAAAATTGGGTATGGTTCATGGTACAAACTAATTTATGTTCGGCTCGAGAAAACGATAATCTCCACTCTAATTCATAGTAAGGAGATAAAATATTATTCCCGATAGCAACACAATGAAAACCGTTCTTCAGAATTTCAGTTAACACAAATTCAGGAGGCCAGGTGTAATCACGAGATCGGTTAATCCAATTACTTGTTATTTTTGTCCAGTGTATACTGTTAAGACAAAGAGCATAATCAATTTCAATATTTTCACAGTAACCAGTTAAACAAGGACCATGTCCGTCTATATTTTGATATCCTTTGTTTTCTTTAAACTCTCGCAAATATTTTTCCTTCCAAAATAAATTTGAAAGATAGTGTGTACCGTTCAAGGAAACAAGTGCTGATTTGATCATGGTGTCCTTTGGCTGTGTAAGGAGTTGTAATCGAACAAATCCAGGCGGTGTATCTGTCTCTTCCATTAGAATAATGGTATGTTTTGATGCCTTGTAAATGCTGGACTGAGATAGTTTGCTTATCATTTTATGGCTATGAATCCAAAACATTGTATCCCGATCAGAGGGGTCAAACCGAAAACCTTCCCTGTAACTACCAGAGTCTATATATCTACATCCAATATACATTTGTACAGGTTTCCTTATCATCTCCTCCATGTCCATCACGTCCCTTCTGATGGCCACTTCTGTCGGTGTCCCTATCTTACCACACAGACCCACGTACAGGACCTCAGATAGACGAGGAATGTGATCCATTCTAATGATAGAAAAGAATAAATATATATTAAGGACACTAAAGACTTGTTGAGATTGATTGATTGATTGTATGTTGTTTAACATCCCTCTCGAGAATTTTTAACTTATATGGAGACGCCACCACATGCCGGATAAGGGCTACAAATTTTGTCCTATGCTCGGCACTCAGGGCCTTTGAGCAGTGAGGGAATTTTTTTGTGCCAGCACCTACTGCGACACGGGGCCTCGGTTTATACGGTCTCATCCGAAGGACCGGTCACCACGTCCGGTGTAAAGACGAATAATGATCCCCATCGAATAATGACCGGAGGTCATTTTTCAACAGCGAAAAATGACCCCCGGTCATTATTCGACGTAGAAAAATAACCCTTTTGCCCGTAGAAAAAGTGTCACCACCCAAAAAATTTTGCAGAACCCACGTGAAGAAAAATGACTCCCGTAGAAAAATGACCCCCTTTAGATTGAAGCTGAAATTTTTAGGGGACAAAAAAAAAATTAGATAAAGAAGCATATTGGCCAAAATGCTCACCTGAGCTTATTGGGAATAAACTGATGATATGTTGATCTCATAACATTATACAATTATAGCTATATTTTAAGGTCAATGCAATGATTCAGAATCTAAAGAAGTAAAAGATTTATCAAGCCTTAAGGGTTAGGTAAACATTGTTTTTTGATGGTGGAAATCATCGAACTGACAGAAAAAATCAGCAGTATTATATATTATTTTATCCTCCGCTTGAAAAGCGGGAGGGTATATAGTGATCGGGATGTCCGTCCGTCCGGCTGTTACGCTTTGAGGTATCCAACTCTTATCCGCAAATCCTCATATATAAAAAGATGTGTTTGTAAAACAGCTATGCCCCTGTATGGCAACATAGCGAAGATTAAACTTTTCTTAAATGCAATTTTAATATATTGTTACCCAAAGTAGGGTCTTCTCACAAGAAATACAACTGCAAAATAGGAAAGCCCTAGCACCACTTGTTCAAAAGTAATGGCTAAGGATAAGTTTTTGAAAGGTAGGTCAAACTCAAAGGTCAAAGTTGATGATTTCTTTAGAAAATGTTTAATGTAACAAGGATTACATATGTGAAGTATGAATACCCTAGCCCTTACCATTCAAAAGTTATGGCCAAGGTAAAAAAAAAATCATAAGTACGAAAATCTCCGAGGTCAAGGTCAAAAGGTCAAAGATTTTAGTATCCAATGAAAGGTTATGCCAAAAAAATACATCTGTGTAGTATGAGAGTACTAGTATCTACCGTTTTAGCGTTATGACCAAAGTAAAAATTTGGCATTTTTGTGTAAAATGGGACAAACTCCAAGGTAAAGGTCAAAAGGTCAAATTTGGTGGTACCCAAAGTTAGGTCTTGTCACAAGGAATACACATATTAAATATGAAAGTCATAGCTCCAATAAATGAAAAGTTAAGGTCAAGGTTAAGGTTTTTGCGGACAAACAAACCTCCAGATAGACAGACGGACATACAGACGAACACGATAAAACTATATACCCCCGAATCTTCGATTACGGGGACATAATAAGAAATGGTCTTCAATTAACTTTTCATATTATGATACATTATAAAGAAGACGTTACAACAATGAAAATGTTTTTTCTGATTTTCATATTGAATTCTCTGAAAAATATACTCCGAACTGAGTAAAAGGGTGGAGTAAAACAAGAATTAAGGTAGAACCTCTGTCGGAAAAGTCTTTGTCACAAGATTTTCAAACTTTTCAAAATGATAAATGAGTACTTGCTTATCAATCAGTTAAAATATCATGATATGTTTCCTTGTTTTTTAATCTAGAACAGGCCGTGAAACTTGGTATGGTATTTACATACTGCGACTTCACATTTTCAAATGTTTTTAAGGGTTCTTGTCATAAAGGGAATATGAAAAATCACAAAAATATTTTTCAAACATCGTCGTTTATAAACTTTATTAACTGAATAATATTAAACAATATTTTATCAAGAATAATTTCTTTTTTATTCAATTAACATAAAAGATAAGTCCACCATTAAAAAAAAAAATAGTCAAATGAACTCTATTATTTTTAATCAATTATGCACCCTACATTTGTAAATGTTTTTAGAAGTCTTTGTCACAATGTTTTCAATCTTCAATATGATGAAGAACATAGCCAAATGATTACAAAAAGTGATTGAAATATATACCTTCCCCCTCTAACTAATGAAAGATAGGCTATTTACCGATACTCATATTCTTGACCTTTTTGCACTCACACGGGATTTAATGATTAAATGTCTGTTTGGGGTTACTTTCAGATTAAATATTAATCAGAAATTGTACTTTTACTTTAAATAGATCATATTTAATAGAAAAATTGTAATCAACACCAAGAATATGAATAGGTAACAAATAATTGTTAAAAGGAATGCACATCATTTCATTATAGATATCACAAAAATGTACACACGATCAAACGATCTACAACACGTACATCTTTGACTTAGACACATTTCATCAAGATATTACACTATATAGCTGGCAACTAAAGATTTCTTACGATTTATGCATTCCTTCAAAATGGTTACATACCATTCAAATTATAACGAAAATTGTATGTACATTGTAATTTCATTACACTAGATAGTCTTGGGTTTGTCAACTTCAGGTCTAGATCTAGTAAATAAAAGGTGATTGCATATTTTCTCTTATTCCAGAAATATATTGCCATTACACATTATAAACCAAAAAATATATGAAAGATTATGTTGGCATGATTGAATTCTGTGAATTTCAAAATGCAGTATTTTCTACCATTTCTATTGAAGCTGTCAAGTACGGGAAAAAGTGGCATTGAATTAATTATGACGTCTTAATGGGTTAGCACAGGTTAAACACATTTACCAGATATGGTGTCATACGAAGTAGGTTCTACGTTAAAAAAATGTAATGAATACTGTGTGATAAATCAAAAGTTTATGTCTACATGTATAGTTTTTGCATTAGAATGACTGTGTATTTTACACTAGCCCATAGCTTTACAGAGCATATCTTTAGGTCTTAGATACTTACCCCACCCCCTTTCTTATTTAGGAGGAAGTCGATATTGAACAAAAAAAAACAAACCACCCTACCTTTATTTTTCTATAAGAAGGAATTAAAAATTGGCTTAAAATAATCTACTATTCTACTAATTTTTAACTGTTACTTTGCCACAATACTTTCAAGTATACCTCCACCAACATTTAAAGTATGCTTTAATCATGGCGAAGTAAGATATGATGTGATAGTACTTTTGTGAAGGCTTAACTCCATTTCAATATTTTATCTAGAGCCTCTTTCAGAATTATTGAAATGTATAAAGTTTTATTTATATTTTTGCTTTTCATTTATTTTTTTTTTTTATTTTGGTTTTGATTTAACGTAATGTTCATTTTTTTTTGGGGGGGGGATAAAAATTTCCTCCTCTTTCATTGTCAAATAGGATTTGACAAATTTTAACAAACTAAAAGTTGAAATGACGGAAAATTTAAATTTTCCTATTAAAGAGTATTTAAACCTGATTTTTGCATGGTTTAATTTCTAAAAACATGTGGAATATCATTCTTTAAGCAAACATTATAAGGAAGAATATTAAAAAAAATTTTATTTACTTGACAATTAAAGAATCTCTTTTCAAACACAATTTTAGCATTAAAAGACTACGTGAATCTCTTAATTATTTCATACGACATTTTGTATTTTTCTGGTTACAGAAAATGTAAAAATTAGTTTCGCTGTAAAAAAGCTATCAAAAAGTGTATATTTTGTATTACTTTAAAGGGGGTCATTTTTCTATGGGGGTCATTATTCTATAGGACTAACATATAAAAAATGACCCCCTAGGACTCTTTTTCTACAAAAAATGATTTTTTTCTACGGTTGGGGGTCATTTTTTGTCGTTGAAAAATGACCCCCCGGTCATTATTCGATGGGGGGTCATTATTCGTCTTTACACCGGAAAGGTCCGAGAATTAGTCATTAGTTACCTGAGTATATAAAATACGATTGTGGTATTGCTTTCATAATTTTTTTTTTATCATTTAAAATCTTCTTTTGGTGGATTTATCCATAAAAATGTAAATTTGTTACCTCCTATAAACAATCTTAATGCCATGACGTCAAAGTCTTTAACGTCAACGTCATGATGTCTTAGCATTTTATTTGGAAAACAATGCTTATTTCAAACATCTGTAAAAAGAAAACCAGAAGAGATTTTGTTAAAAAATAAACTGTTTCACAACCTACACATTCTGGACTATCAATTGCTAAAAAATTATAAAGTTTGAAGATGGTGCGGATTTTCATGCTTCGTGGCTCTTGTTCCTTCGGGGTCGAGGTCAAAAGGTCAAAGTAGTTGGTTTCCACAGAAAGTCTTGTAACAAGGATTTCATTTGTGAAGTCCTAGCCCTAATCGTTCAAAAGCCATGGCCAATGTAAAGATTTTGAAAAAAAGGGTCAAAGGTTAAGGTCAAAGTTGTTGGTATCCAATGAAAGATTTTGTCACATGGATTAAATTTAAAGTATGAAAGCCTAGCCCTAACCGTTAAAAAGTGATATCCAAGATTAAAGTTTTTAAAAAGTAAGTCAAACTCCAAGGTCACAAGGATTATACATGTGGAATATGAAAGCCCTAGCCTTTACCGTTCAAAAGTTATGGGCAAGGTTTAAGATTTTTGAAAGTACGTAAACCTCTAAGCGAATCTTCGATTATGTAGAGGCAGAACTGTATTATATAGTTCTCTGCTTGAGAAAATTAGGACAGATTAAGTATTTTTCTTGTATTTTATACTTTTCTCAGTATTTAAAAATGGTAATCGATAATTCATCATAAATTTAACTTCAATTCCTGATGATTTACTTACCTTTCAACGCTAACAAATGGCTGTTTGTGGTAAAGGTCGTCGAAATAGAACTGTTTTAACCGACATTAATAAACTATTCACAGGACTGTTTTAAAGATCTGCTTTATCTTTCTGAATTTTCTCAAGCAGGGAGC